AGAAGAGCGGCCGGGACCCAGTGGTCTCTCCGCCGGCAAAAATGCCAATTCGGGACGCCCACGTAGCGCCCCCGGCTCCGCTACTCCAGTTCCTCTAACGAGCTTCGTGGTTACCCCTCCCAGCTTCACTGTTACCGCCCCAAGCCTCGCCGTCGCCGCCCCTCCTACTTTCACTACCGCTCGAGAAACCTACGCTGAGCCGAGCTACGACCGGCCCCGTCGCGACTTTGTGTGCGTCCCAGAGCGGATCCGCAAATGGGGTTTGCAGTTTGATGGGTACTCCGACCCATTGGCCTTCATCGAACAGGTCGAAAGTCGGGCCTTGTCTTATGGAATCGACCTAGGACTCCTCCCTCGAGCCATGGCGGAACTGCTGACGAGCAGGGCCGACAAGTGGTTTCAAACCAGCCGTCTCCAAGAGGCTGATTGGGCTACATTCCGACGGGAATTCCTCGAGTTTTTCCTCCCGCCCAGATACCTCCAGCGCTTGGACGACCGAATCCGGAGTCGCGAGCAGCTAGGAGAAGAAACTTTTAAAGATTTCATGCTCGACCTTCGCGTTCTCATGCGCCACGCGGGCTATAACGAGACTCAGGAGCTCGACCGCCTGTACGAGAACATCGCACCCGACTATCAGATGTACATTCGGCGCAGCGAGTTCCAAACAATTGGGGGAGCTGGCTCAACTGGCGACCGAATTCGAAGCCGTCAGGCGACGCAGCCTAAGGCGATCCCAAGCCATACCAACGCCTCCGAGTAGCCCCTCCTTCCGTCCGCCTCCCCACAGTGGGGGTCAAACATCTTCTCCCGGGTACACCAGATCAAACGACGTTCCGCGGACGCCAGGCCCGGCACGGCCACCCGCACCCGTGCGAGTAAACCGGGTAGCGACACCAGATCGCCGCATCAACGTGCAGGATGCGTGCCGAAATTGCGGGGATTCCGGGCATTTCAGCCGCGAATGCCGGAACCCTCGGCTATACTTTTTGCTGGGACTGCGGGCGACGCGATGTTCGCACCGTAGAGTGCTGTCGCCGACCCCAGCCGGGAAACGGAGCGGGTCCCCACGACCGGCGGAGTCCGTTGGGGACCAATCCCGCAACGAACACCTTGTAAACGCGCCGCTAAGAATCGAGAGAGGGAGGATCGCCGCAGAAGTCGAGATCGGTGGCCATCGACGTCTGGCCACCATCGACACTGGCGCATCGAAGAGCTTCATCAGCCAGGAAGTCGCCAACCTAGTTGGCCAACGACACCAGTTCCAGGAGATCCGCACCCAAATTAACTTGGCCGACACCTCGCGAGTCGAGGTTCGACAACTCTTGCGCGCCGATATCACCCTCGCTCGGAAGACTATCCAGGTGCCCCTCTTCGTTATGCCGGCCATGCTGGAACCCCTGATCCTGGGCATGGATTTCCTGGCCACGATCGGCACCACCATCCAGTGTGGGACGGCCACACTCATCCTGTCGAGACGACAGCCGGAAGAGCGGGACATGAGGCCACCCAGAGGAGCGAGACGCAGCACACGCACGACGGACACCACGGACTCTCGAACCACCGAACCACCTAGCCCTCGGGGCCCAGCCGGATCCGAGCTGAGCGAGGAAGCACCGCCTACTCGCCAGGAAGATCCCCGCCTGGGCATCGCCGACCATTTCACGGAGACCCACGCCGGAGAGCAATACAATAGACACACAGAGACACACGGGAGCCCCGACGCGGGCATACAAGGAAGACACACAGAGACACACGGGAGCCCCGACGCGGGCATACAAGGAAGACACACAGAGACACACGGGAGCCCCGACGCGGGCATACAAGGAAGACACACAGAGACACACGGGAGCCCCGACGCGGGCATACAAGGAAGACACACAGAGACACACGAGAGCCCCAGCGCGGGCACACAAGAGAAACACACAGAGGCACATAGGAACCCAAGCACAGGAACCTCTGAGAGTAACCTCATGAACCTACATGAGATGGTAAACCCCGAGGACAAGCCCACAGAGGCACACATCGACACACATCCCGAGACACCCGAGAAGAATCTTGAGGGCGCCCCCGAAGCCACCAACGAGGAACAAGACCCTCGCATCCAAGCATTCTTATACGAGCAGCTGGTCCAGTTCGAGGGAATGACCGGGGTGGCCAACATCGCCGAGCATAGGATTACCATGCGAGACGATCGGCCCATCAAGCAGCGGTATTTCCCAAAGAACCCAGCTATGCAGAAGATCATCGACGAGCAGGTGGACGCCCTCCTTGATCAGCATTGCATCGAGCCATCGCGCAGTCCGCACAGCGCTCCCTTGGTCCTGGTCAGGAAAAAGACTGGACAATGGCGCATGTGCGTAGATTATCGCCAGCTAAATGCCAAGTCGATCCCCGACGCGTACCCACTGCCGCGTATCAACCATATCCTCGAGCGGCTTCGAAACGCAAAGTATATTTCCACCTTGGATTTGCGCAATGGCTATTGGCAGATTCCAATGGAAGCAGGCAGTCGGGCGTGTACCGCCTTTACGGTCCCTGGCCGCGGCCTTTTCCAGTGGCGGGTCATGCCTTTTGGGCTCCATTCGGCTCCAGCCACCTTCCAGCGAGCGCTCGATAGCGTGATCGGGCCAGACCTGGACCCATATGCTTTCGCTTACCTCGACGACATAATCGTCATCGGGGCCAGCCTCGAAGAGCACATGGAGAATCTGCGGAGAGTCTTCAAGCGCCTCAGGAAGGCGAACTTGCGGATAAACCAAGATAAATGTTCCTTCTTCAAACGGAAGTTGGTTTATCTCGGCCACGTCATTAGCGACCAGGGCATCCACACGGACCCTGAAAAGGTAGCCGCGGTACGGAACCTAAGTCCACCCACGAGCCTGCGAGAATTACGCCGATGCCTAGGTATGGCCTCTTGGTATAGGAGGTTCGTACCGAACTTCGCGTCTGTCGTTCAGCCCATGACGAACTTGCTGCGCAAAAACCAGCGGTGGAAGTGGGAGCAAGAACAACAGACGGCCTTCGAGCTCCTCAAAAGTTTACTAACGGATGCTCCGGTGCTGGCATGTCCAGACTTTTCCGTCAAGATGACGCTCCAGACCGACGCAAGTAACTATGGGCTCGGAGGTGTACTGACGCAAGAAATAGAGGGGCAAGAACGGGTCATCGCCTACGTGAGTCGGAAGCTAGACGCTGCCGAACTCAATTATTCGCCTACGGAAAAGGAATGCCTAGCCATCGTCTGGGGAATTCGTAAACTACGATGCTACCTCGAGGGCTATCGCTTCGACGTGATCACAGACCACTTGGCCCTGAAATGGTTAGATCAAATTGAGAACCCGACTGGAAGGATCGCCAGGTGGGCCTTGGAACTTCAACAGTACCAATACGATGTCCACTATCGCCGCGGGAAATATAACGTGGTCGCCGATGCCCTATCCCGGCAACCACTGGAGCACCTCCAGCGGCTAATGCCAGACGAACGCTTGTGCAAATGGCTGAAACGAAAACTGACGGAAGTTCAGGACGATCCCCAGCGATTTCCAGATTACGTGATCGAAAACGGAGAGCTGTACCGACACCTCGGACACCGCCCAGACGACCAAGATTATATTCCTTGGAAACTCTGCGTTGCGGCTGAGCATCGAGCACGGATTCTCCAAGAATGCCACGACGCACCCACGGCTGGCCACTTTGGCACCCGGAAGACGATTCTGCGGATTTCACAAAAGTATTACTGGCCCGGAATGTTCCGCGACGTGAAACAATACGTCCGTCAATGCGTCCCCTGCCAGAAATACAAAGCAGAGCAAAAGGCACAAGCAGGAAGGATGCTGACGAGGCAGGTCGACGAACCCTTTGGCATCGTATGTGCAGATTTCGTGGGACCACTACCGCGCTCCAAGGCCGGAAACACAATGCTGCTGGTCTTCTTCGATAGTTTCACCAAGTGGGTGGAATTAGTCCCCTTACGAAAAGCAACTACCACCACGCTGATACAGGCGTTCCGGGAAAGAATCCTTGGGAGGTTTGGAGCCCCAAAGAAACTGGTGTGCGACAATGGCACCCAATTCACCAGTAAGGCCTTCAGAGGATTCCTTAAGGAGATGGGCGTAGAATTGCAATACACGGCCCCCTATTGCCCCCGCGAGAACCCCACGGAGCGGGCGAACCGCACAGTCAAGACCATGATCTCTCAGTACGTCGGCAGCGATCAGAGTACGTGGGATCAGCTAATACCTGAGCTGAGCCTCGCCATCAATACTAGCGTTTCGGAGACCACAGGATACAGCCCGGCTTTCCTACTACAGGCACGAGAGCCGCGGTTACCAGGCTCATGGTACGATCAAGTGACACCGGGAGCAGGCGTCGCTCCGGAGACCCCTGCTGACCGAGCTGGGCGACTGAAGGAAATTTTCCAGATCGTCCAGACAAATATCCAGAAGGCAAGCCGCGACCAAGGACGACAGTACGACCTCAGGCGTCGGGCATGGAGGCCCACCATCGGCTCCCTGGTCCTCGTGCGCCAGCATCACCTATCCAAGGCCGTGGATGGATTCGCTGCCAAACTCGCGCCCAAGTTCGACGGACCATATAAAGTGGTCGCCCTTCCGTCTCCAAACATAGCCCGAATCCGCTTGCCCGGGAAACGAAAGGGCCGCCTTGCCAATATCGCCGACTTAAAAGAATTCCATTCTTCTCTTCCCACAGGTGATGCAGACCCTGACGACGACGCCATGTCGGAGGACAACGCCGGTGTTCAACCCGGGTCCGACAAGCCACGGTCACCCGACCACGATATCAGCGAGGGGTGAATTTAAGTAGCACACTAGGTTCCCTCTAACCCTAAGACCATTGTTAGCAATTAGATTAACATTAGACCTTTTGCCTACTACTGCCCGTTAGGACATTAACATTTAAGTACTGGTTAGTTTAAGTTTGGATAGTTCTCTTTCTCCCATAGATTCATTCAGTCATACGCGTGCCACGAGTGAGTCCGGATGGAGCCCATCACCATCGACTCCAGCGACGAGGAAGACAAGGCTCCAAATGGAGCATATGACAGGCCAACGACCGGCCGCGATCCCCGGCTACGCCCTGGCGCCTACTACGCTGGTAGACCCACGAGAGCCTGCCCAACCGGGATCCGACAGGCTCGAGGCCCTACCCGAGCCCCGTCGCCCCCGATGCGCACAAGTACGGCCAGAGCACCACCGCGCCGAGCCGCGTCTCACCCAATGTCGGAGTCGTCGGATGAGTCGCCTGCAGCCTCGCCAACACGGCGCGCCGCGCCACCAACGCCGCCACGACCCTCGGGCCGCTCCCGAGCCCCGTCGCCCCCGATGCGCCCAAGTACGGCCAGAGCACCACCGCGCCGAGCCGCGTCTCACCCAATGTCGGAGTCGTCGGATGAGTCGCCTGCAGCCTCGCCAACCCGGCACGCCGCGCCACCAACGCCCCCACGACCCTCGGGCCGCTCAGTCTCTCCGTTTTATACGGACAGAACGGGACGCAGGATCCCCTGCTCCCAGGCTCCGCCGTCGGGACCGTACCACGGATCCTACAACCCGGGCCCGCCAAATCCAGACGCGCCGGGCCACTCGCGTTGGTTTTTCAACCCGCGCCCAGCTCCCGGATACCCTGACCCGACCGCTGCTGCTCCACCAACTGCAGGGCACTACAGCCCATGCAGCCCTCGCCAGCAGGATTCGGAGTCGGACGAGGACGACGACGAGGAGGGAGACTCCCGATCCTCCAGTCCAGCCGCCCCGGCACGCGACGAGGACTATGTGCTGGAGGACGCTACCGACAGCGACGCCACCCCTCTGTACCCTGGGGAGGAAACCGGCGACCAAAGCAACGACGATGCACAGACCATCAGCAGCGACAGCGAGACCAACGATGGTGCCCCGAGGGCCGCCCACTATCAATGGGAAGGAGAGGAGCGATACGGGTTCTGGCGGGGATCATGGATCCAGTTGATCCACGCCCGTTACACCTCCATCCTCATTGAGGCACCCTTCCGACCAACCCCGGACCCGATTGTTACTTTTCCCCCATCACCGGAGAGGCTGTGTATCATGGCCCCGGATGAAGATTGGGAGATGGATTGGGGAAACAACCCCGAGGTCCGCCCGCCGTCGCCAGCACTGGGGGGAGGATGCGGTCCTGCCCATCTTCCCCGGCGACCGGGCCGACGACAACGCACCCCGGGCATCCACGAGCCACGAAGCGCTCCGCCACATCACGAGCAAAGCCCACGATGACGCCCCACGAGCGTCCACAAGCCGACAAGCGCTACACCACCTCAGTGCCCAGATCGAAGACAACGCGCCGCTAACCTCATCCAGCCAAGGCTCGATCTCCGTCGCCGACGAGACCACTGAGCATGCCTACCAGCCCACCGGGAAGGCAATGCTATGGGAGTCGGAGAGCAGCGACAGCGAGACAGAGACGGGGCAAAAATTCCGTCGTAAGGAGGCACAACCACGGCCAGCGCCGAATCCCGTTATGCCTGACCAGCGATCCTCGGCCCACCGCCGCGGGACAGCCACGGCCATGAACGCGCTACACCACGCTGCCGAGACCAACCGCCGGGCCGCCAACCCTAGTCGCTCCACTACCCACGAGGAGATCACTCCCCCAGCCACCCCACGTGCCGGCTTAGGAGATCGCGGGTTCGATCTCTCCCCAGGCACCATGGACATACTCATGGAGGAGCTCGAGCCGGGAGTGGAGGGTCTGGTCCAAGGATTAATCCCAGATTGGGACCCGAGCGTACCGTCAACCGCACCAATGCCTACGACCACCACTGTCGACGAGGTCCCGCCTCCGGCACCGCGCTTCCCGCGCCCAGTTACCACGGCCACCATCGCCGACGAGGTCCCCCCTCCGGCGCCGCGCTTCCCGCGTCCAGCCCCTGTGGACCTTACCGCCGACGAGGTTCCGCCTCCGGCGCCACGCTTCGCTCGTCGAGCCCCTCCGGCGGAGGATTTCACCACCGACGACCCAGCGCCCGAGCGAGTTGCCATACCATCCGCTTGGTGGACGAACACGCATGACCAGCGAGTTCCACTGGCGGTTTGGCAAGAGGTAGAGCGTCGGAGCCATGCAGCGCAGTACTCCCGTCAGCGCTTCCGCGTCCGCACGCCGGAAGGGCCGTACCAGATAACCATGAAGACGACAGGAGACGTGCAGATCCGTTTCGGCCGGGCGGATTAAGGAGGGAGTGTGACGCCTCTATCCTATAGGCGCACAACAACTCGCTATAACTTAAGAATTAGTTACTAAACATATATCTATTTCCCCCATATCATAACCATAGGCTAAGTTTAGGAAGTAAGCCGGCACGGAAGCCAATATACTATCATTAAAACTCATTTAAGTTGGCATTGAAGCCGTAACAGACGCACACCTGGAGTATATTAAAAGTAGAAATAGTTAATTTTAAAACATTAAGCTAAGTTCGGCACCTTAGAAGTCGCCGAACCGGGAAAGCTATCGACTAGTCGAACTATTCGAACCAGACCCGTTCTCGGTGAACCGGTTCAAGGCTCCGGTTCACTCAAAAGCTATGACAGCTGGCGTCTTCCGGGATTCGCTCTCTTCCGTCGACAGCTTTGCACCGAGGCAGACGTGCCCATCACCGCGCCTCCGCGATCGAATCAAAAGTCAAAGTATATCGCGTCCTCGCCTCATCCCGCGACGAAGACGCCCGCACCGCGATATCGACGAAGTGAAACAAACCAACGGAGTGAAAAGAGAACCCCCGCGATCGACAGTCCCCACGCCCGCCGACACGTGGGCTGGTTTCGTAAGTTTGCAGGAGTCAATTCTGTAAGGCAGTAGTAGGCTACACCCCTAGATAACCAAATAACCAATAAAACTAACAATTGAACTGACCCGTCGTAGTATTTCCTTGGTAGTATTGGTTTTCAGATTCCCCGATCTCTGCCCCGCTGGCGGCCCCAAAATTACTGCGTTTCGGCATTACCATTCGCACGTGTTTTACGGCCATCCAGCCTCCCATCGACCCTTTCCCGTGTCCGCAGCCGCAGTGTCACGTCAGCGCAGGCTCTTTCCGCGCCCAGCGTGCCGCCGCGACTGGAGGTCATCTGCTCCTCCGCCCACGCCCAGCTTAGGGATCCTTTCCCGTGTCCGCAGCCGCAGTGTCACGTCAGCGCAGGCTCTTTCCGCGCCCAGCGTGCCGCCGCGACTGGAGGTCATCTGCTCCTCCGCCCACGCCCAGCTTAGGGATCCTTTCCCGTGTCCGCAGCCGCAGCGTCACGTCAGCGCAGGCCCTTTCCGCGCCCAGCGTGCCGCCGCGACTGGAGGGCATCTGCTCCTTGCCGCCGCGACTAGAGAATACGTGCTCCTCCGCGTTCGCCCCACTAGGGACTCCCTTCTTGTGCCCGTAGTCGCCGCGCCACACTAACGCTGGTTTCCCGCGTACCGTGTACCGCCACGACTACGAGGGCATCCGCGCCCGAGTCCACTTCCAGATTAGGGACACTTCGACACACGCTGCCGCCCCGCCTGCAAGGGCCATTCCTCACGCCGTGCATCACCGCGGTGGCTCCAGAACCTCTGCCTGCCCGACCCGTAGCCTAACCGGAGTTGACCAACACCTCCCTGACGCCCTGGCCATTCCCTCGACCCACGTCGCCCGAATTCTGGGCGAGATCAAGTCAATTCCGCCAGGAGTCCGCCGGAGTTGCCACCCCGCGCATCTGCAAAAGCAGTGCCGACAAGCAGTGGGCGCAAGCAGTGTCCGAAAGCAGTTCGCGACAAGCAGCTTTGTGTCAGAGACCGACCGATCAAGCAGATCGACGGGTCGGTATAAGCAGCGCGAGAGCCAGTCATTGATAAGCAGTGCGTGTGCCCCGCCTGCTTCTAGAGCACCCAGTGACCACCACACCCGGCAGCCACGGTGCCCACCCTCGGTGATCGGATTTTAGTGCGCGTAAATTCGCAACCCGGGCCCCGCACGCTGCTGTAATAAATTCCTATAAATATTTCCGTCCCCTCTAAATAAAATTTCTTGAAGAGGATCCCTGGTCACGGCTGAGGTCTATCCCGGCCGGAGAGATTCGTTACAAAGCGAGCACGCACTGAAAATCCGAACGATTTCAGCAGCCGACGAGACTACCTTGTATAATTGTATCATGCCCAGCCTTATTTAAAACAAAATTAAAAAAAGGAAATTAGAATCCCTTTCCACTTAAATAATAACAATCAGAAAATGCCTAGAAAGACTCATACCTGATATGCCATGCAGACCAACAAAAACTAATAACCTGGAAAGCTTAAATTACATAAATAATTAACTCTCTCTGTAAAAGGGAAAAGACGTTAAAATTTAAATCCAAAACAGAAACAAACCAAAATAAACCTCTGAACTCTGACCGAATGGAATGAAATCCAACGTTAAAATTATAAAAAATGCCAAGATGCAATCCTGAGCTGATGAGAAACTAAAAGTCTTAACATCAGCCCAAAATACCTACCATACCCCTTCCCTTCCCATACTTAACAATAATAAAAACTACTCCCTTCCATCAGGTGATGAACACAGCGACTACAAAGACCCGCAAAACCGAGTATCGCAAAATAACACTGCTGAGACCACTCCTGCGAATCCTTCTATAAAAAGAAGGAACTTATATTAACGCATCACTGCATAATTTACAATATGCCGAGTTACGTCACTGCAGTGCTGACTATCCCATGCCCCCATGATGCCGACCTGGCAGCTGAACTCGCACCTGATTGGCTGAAAGTAAAAGGGCCACAAAAACCCCTGATGTTGGTCCTTACGTCTGAGAAAACGTTAAAACAAACTTACACCTGCTACTCTCTTCACCATCGAAAATCTGGACCTCCATCGCAATCTGGATCGGAGATATATACAATATGCATGGCATAGGCCTAGCCATGCAGCTATGCCAAGCCCTCCCTACAACATGGAGCCTCCCGCTCTTGCTCCTTAATACTCTGGCCTAAGCCTTATAGATACTAGTCCGCAAAACAAATATTCGGGACTTTTAGCTGTTAAGACTATTGTATATGTGTTTGTTGGAAATACGAAACAATAAAAATTAAAGCAATCCCCCTTTTGGGATGATTGCCTTATTGGTGCCGGCTCCGTTCGCACAAACAGAAAAGAGAAAGATGCTCCGTGAAAACTAAATTATCCTTGATCCTTAATTCAGTTATCCTTGATCTTTGATTCAATTATCCTTGATCCTTGATGCTATTATCCTTGAATAATAAGAACAATTTGCTTAAATTAAAATACAAATTTCAAATGAAACAAGTTCAACTGATCAATAAATAATAAATAAATAAACAATTATCAATAAAATGAAATAAAAAAGCTAAAAACACGCTCGCGAACATGTGGCAAAATAAGTGACCCCACATAACTCTAACCTAAAAATGGAAAATAAATACAAATATAAATTAAAAGTAAAAATGAATTAACAAAAGCGAAGAAATAAATAAGCGATACAACAATACAGTGCATATCCTTTTAACTAGCTGCAATATAAAAGGATCAATAAAGCCTTACACTTAGATGTTCCCTGGAAGCAAGGGACCTTAACCTAAGAGATCCTGCATAACCCTAACCTAAAAAATTAATACAGACAACAAATTAAAAAATTAATAACAAATTATGCAGAAACTAAAATTAGCATCCAACTGCAGTCAACAATAAGGTACACAAATAAAACAAAGTCAAACAAAAATTCAGAAAAGGAAGGAAACAAAAATTCAGAAACTAACCTAAAAATTTAAGGCCAGCCTGAACCGAATCAACACAGCTAAATAAATAACAAAAGGACAGGAAAACCTATGCACCAAATAGCCGCTGATTCCAAATAGCATCCTGTCTTGTGCACCGAAAACTGTATTTATCCTTCGAACTACTTTTTAATTAAAGCTTGGAAAAATCAGTCACCAGTCCCGTTATAAATTTCCCTGACTTGCATCATTTGTTGTTTTAATGTTTTATGTTTGGCGTATACATAGACGATGCGCCAAGGACTATAGGCAGGAAGCGACCTGCAACTTAGGTGAGACTGGTAGTGGGGACTTAGATCACGAGCATTAGGCTGGCTGAGAGCTGTAGAGCGCACGCCATTAAAATACTACGCAGGGACATACGCATCTACACGCGAAGGCATTGGTGGCTATTACAGAGCGGCATAGCGTAGCCCTGAGCTGGTGATCTCCCAACCCATAAGGAGCGCTCAGCGAACAGTTATGACCTATACTCTCCTGTAGACCACTTGCTCGCTATACTCTAAACCTAACCTCAACATATAACTAGAAAGAAGGAGCAAAGAAGGCAAATCAAAATGCCAAAAAGGAAATCTAATAATCGAAGTCCCCTCACCCTCTAACCACACAGTTATACAAATTGACTCGCCCAATGAAACCCTTGATAGTTTGGAGACCGAACAGCGGCCAAGCAAGAAACCCAATAACCTAACAACTACAAAGAACAATGCTAAACTTAATACCACACAGCACAAAAGGAAAATATTATATAAAAACAGAATACCAATTAGAAGACAAATAATGAAAAAAATCACACCACCCTCGACGCAAAAACAAAAGCAGCCAATAGAAGGCCACGAAAAATCTCCTCTGATTCAGAATCAGACTATGAAACAATTAAAACACCCAGAAACGCACCCTTGACTGTAGGAAAAGTAAAACAAAATGACAATGAAGAAATAAATATAACTAAACCAGTAAACCGTCCAGTTAACCTCCTACTCCCCTTCAGAAATCACCAACAAAAAATAAGCAAAGCTCCCCCAATATTCTTAAATAATGTACCTACTATATACCCGCTACTTACTGATCTCAAAGAAATTGGAGGAGATAACCCGGATGAAGTCAATGATAAATTCATCATCAGTAGCTATCGTGGCACTGGTGTCAAAATAGAACGCTTAAACCTGGAAGTGCATAAAGAAGTATTCAAAGCCCTTGAGGATGCAGGAAGAAACCATTATACCTTCCAGCCATCTTCTGAAAGAGGTTGGAGAGTAGTAATCAAAAACCTTCACCACACCACCTCGCACGCAGCAATAAGAAATGAACTCCTAAAAATTGGGTGCAAAACCAGATTCATAAACAACTTAAAATATTATAAGACGGGCTTCCCTATGGACCTCTTTGAAGTTGAAATCGAACCTCCAGCTGACCCA